ATAAATATATATTATGTTAAAGTTAATCAGTACTTTAGTCTATAACAAAAAGAATCACACGGTATATAATTTTTATTAATTAAGTATACAAACATATTCTTGAATTGTGGATGCAGCATAGATATGCACAGGAATGCGTTTTTATCGGTAGAAGATTTTGTTAATCCCATGAAGAAGATGATAGCCGCTCTCAGGTTTCTCTCTGCTATTTACTTTATCGCTCATTATCTCTTTCGTAGAAATCTCTATAATCGGCATCGTGCTATATTTTAAATCTTATTACTCTGCTTTATATAATTAATTTGTTTTATAGGTATTGCCTTTGATGAATGTTGTATTCTATTAATATTGTACTTCTTGAATCAAATACAACTGATTTTATTGCGATAAATTAATCGGCTAAAAATGATCGAGCGGAGTTTTCGTAAAGGTCCGCGCGTCTCGTGGACGGTCGCGCGAGATGGCGCCACCATGTCAGTGTCGCAGCGCGGCACGGTCATGATATGCGTATGAGTTCGCCGCGATGCTACCAAAATGGCCGCGACCGTTTCCGCGAATTCGAGTGTAGTGTTGTGAGTGTGCGTGCATTCCGACGGGTGGACCATCGCCTGGCAAGGACCTCGTCGACGCGAGAGGCTATTCCGGGGCGTGACTGACCATTCCGCGCCGCTGGTGAGTCATGACATTTCGTATCAGACGAGATCCAGCAACTTGACAATTGCGGGAACCACGGCGAGCTTTGTCGCGCCGCTCGCCGCGCTCCTTCGCGGTCCTCGCCGCTACGATCTTACACGATTATCTCGCCATTCGCGAATCCCTCCTCGTTACCCATCGTTATTCTCACGCGTTGCATCGCTTCCGTCCGTGCGAACATCACGTACGTGCATTTCCCGTCTCACATATGCGCAGTCTGCGCAAACGCGCCGGCCGAGGTTCGATGTCCGCTCTGCTCTGTTTGACGTCACACGCTGACAGCGACTGTCACCTGTTCCCAGTGACGTCACTGACAACGATGACGCCAGCGGTCCTGCAGCATCCAGCGTCCCGAAGCAGCATGGCGATTCCCTGTCCCAATTTCGGTCTTATTTCACTTCCCGATGTCGCAGTCTCCATGCCGGTTTTATCGTAGTCAACATTACCGGCGTGCTACAGTTTATTCAGAAATTTCCAAGAAAAACAGGGAATATCATTAATAGTTTACAATGTTTCTTGGCGCTGCAGAATGTAGTGTTTATTTTTTTAATTAAATTTAAATTATTTTAAATTATTTTAAAAGAAAAAAGAAATGGAGAATGCATTATGATTAATGCTGCGTTATAATCATGATAAATATCATGAGAAGGCTAAACTTGTTTCTTCGTTTATGAAAAGAGATATTTTAATGAAAATTATTTAAATCCGCGAATTACATTGTCTTTAGACTACCTTTCTCCCAGGAACTGAACTTCTTCGTTTTTCCAATTTAGTTCATGTTGAAATTAGTTAAAGACGAAGCGTGTAGAAGGCGAGAAAATATTTCTTCTAAAATAAGGCACGTGTTCTTATTTACGGATACTGAAAATTACGTGTCTCGTACATTAGAGGGAATGTATAATCAGAAATTCTCTACCGAGCTGTGACATCATATCCCCGGTATGACGTAGGCGAGAGCTATAATACAGATGATGCTGGCATTACGCGATGCTTGCGCTTACGTCAGATGGCGATCTATGCGATTGCATCATGGAGTGTCATGATGTTGCATAAGGCAAAGTAACATTCTTGTTAAGGGCCGTTACATACAGATGCTAAATAGTTCATCGTATACTCTAGAAAGTTAAGATATACTGTAACATATTCTCTTACTTTAAAATCTTCTTGA